ATTAGACTCTGACGATCGCAGACAAAATAATCTAGAAACCTTCTGTCGTCCATATCAAATACAAACATCCTAAATAATCGATTACTATTCTGAATGCAACTAGCGCTACACGAAAGGTCACCAAACAGAAGTAAGATATCAAAAATGGCGAAACAATCCATACGAATACATTTTTCAGATTACCCAATTACAGTAGAAATATTCTCTTCAAGAGACATTTTTGAAGCAACCTTTGTCACGGATGGTTTCTCGACGTATTTCCTTCGGTGTGGGTGCCTCTCCAAAGGATCTGGATATGGAAAATATCCTCTTGGGGCGTACATATATCCCATAGCGTCGAGAGGTTTCAAAATCAGATATGACTTGTCCTCGAAAGTGTTCAGCTGAACTCCAAGATCTTCAAGCGTCAGGCAGCCAGTCAGCACGTCAGGTGTTGCCTCCTTAAAAATTAGCACATATTTGGGAGTGCCTTTAACAAATCTCTAAGATAAAATACGGAAAAACTGTTTTACCAGAACAAAACGTATACAGTACATCATACGGAAAATGGCATACGCACGCACGTTAGAATACATCACAATTATATGTCGAAAATATACTAGGATAATATAAACGATAAGTGCATATGCCAAACAGCAGATATAGTCGAATGGTAAGTCGACAGTTCAAATATAGCTGCCTAAAGTAAATCGTTGCAACTATCAGACTGAACTAATATTATCAACAGTGCACAATATTCAGCTATAGTTTGCCACTCGGAAAACATAGTGGCACGGCACAATCTGATTGTCTGATAAACTGAGCGCTGAAATAAACTGAACAGCATACAACGTGATATTCAGAACATGATAAGCAGACTAAAGCACACAGTGTGATAAGCAGTAAGACTGAGTTGATAAATTTCGAACAGTAAAAACTGCCGCAGATTAACTAAACATCAAACAGCTGTAATCAACGTTAAACATAATTAATCATTTACAATCAATAGTGGGAGCTATAGTTACAAATAACCCTGAGTCGAATCCAGTTGCTTGTGACATCTTCTTGTACACTGAAAGCGCTTACCACATTCCATTGTTTTACTTATTTCAATGTTTTGAAGTTAAATCTATGGAATTTTAAACTGAACCTCTTTCATATGTCTAACACTACTGTTCTTCTTCCTATAGTGTCCATTTTGATAATAATCAGTGTTCTCTGAAACGTCAGAGCTTCATTAAGGTTCTTCAATCTTGTGATTAAAACCAGCGACTTAGAAGTCCCCTCTTATAATACAATATCGATTTATTACCTTCATGATGACGCTGATCCGAGGCGCTGAAAAAAGTCAGTAAATAAATTATTATACATAGTTCGCTTTAATTGTTGCCTTGAACCTTAGATCGGGAAGCGAAGACCATTTCATTTCATCCTGTAATCAGTTGTAACAAAATTGCACTTACGACACATTCAAAGGTTTCCCAGCTCCATGGAGGCTGCCACCGAGTGAGCAGCGTTCGCAGTTCAAAGAAATTTGTTTTCATTCTAAATTTTAGTTTAACACCAATC